TATAAATAGTATATCTTCATCCATTGTTGTAGAAGTATTTTTGGATTAAAAATATTAAATAAAATTGATTTAATTAAAATTTACTTATATTTAAATATAAAAATTTTAAATATTTTTATTTATAGATAAATTTAAAGATAATATTATTGTTTTTTGGAGCACGGATGGAGGGCATGCTAGCTCCCCGCTTACATAATAATGTGTCACCATGGATGATGTGTAATATTTCAAATCTTTGATACAATATTATAAAACACTCAATTTTATTATTATTATTATTATCTTTATCATAATATAAATTTTTAATTATCATATTTGAAAAATAAATAAAAATATAATGTTTTATTTTCTTTTGGAGATACATAAAAAATTCAGTTACATTTTTTTTAAATCATCTTTTTTTAGAACAACATTTTAATTGTATTAATGAAATATAATTATTCCTTATATGTATATAAAAAGAGAGAATTTATTTTTTTTTAAATGCATTGAATGCACGGATAAGATATCCATTTATAAAAATCAAGATTCATTGTTATCCATTTGTAATTAGATGGTTAAGATCAAAAGGAAAGGAAAAAATTTCCCATTAAATGCTAACTAGATTAATCATTTCAAATTTTCTTATAAATAAGCCAACAAGGGGAGGGGACAATCGGTAAAAAAAGAGAGAGAGAAAGATAGTACGGAAGAAAAAGGGAAAAAGAGAAAGAAGAGAAAAGTGAGAAGAAAAAATTGTAGCAATTAACTCTCGATAATTCTACACTTCTAAGATAAGAAGAGGAGACCTTATTATTTTAAATTTTATATACTATTATGTTTATTTATTTTACACTATATCTATATGTATTTACTTAATAATGTGTTTTTAACCTCATTTACTTGTTTTATCTAAGATACTTTTATACTCTTAATAATTAATGAGGTGTTATTAGTTTATGTTGTTTAATTACTTTATGATATTTATCACTATCATTTACTAGATTAATATTCTTTAACATTCCATTTTTGTAAACTATATTATATTAAATTTTAAATAATTAAAAATATTCAAACTTATTTAACTTAATTATTTTTATATTAATATTAATTATAATATAGTTTTGTTAAAATATCCTAAGCTCATATTTTTATTATTTCTTCATATATTATAAAGATAAATGTTATTCAATAGCCATAAGAATGAAAGTTTGAATTAATTTGTAGTTGGAGGTTGGGACCTCGGGGATTTAAATGAGTAAAAAACTTATAATGTGTTTGGATGGAGAATTTAAATGGATTAATTCATTTATTTGAAGAATTTTAAATTTTTTGAGGTGAAATACCTTGTTTGGATGGAAAATTTATAAGAAATTTGAAATTCAAATATTTGTGAAATTCCTTGAAATAGTAGAATTTCAAATTCTCCCCAAAAAGTAAGAGTTTGAAATTTCTCATATTTGTTTTTCTTATTTCACTTATATATTTTATCTTATATTTTATCTCTTGATTCTTTTAATTATTGAATATTCAAAAATATTTTTAAAATTATTAAATATTATCTAATATTAATTTTTAAAATTATTAAATATTTAAAAATTAGCTAATATTTATTTTTATAAAATTTAATTTAAGAATCTCAACATATAAATATATTTTTAAAATCAAATTTATCATGGTAGAATCAAATTATCATATTCAATCCAACAATTTAAGATTTGATAAATTTGAATTGACTTATCCAAACAAAATATTTTAAGAATGATAGAAATTGAAATCAAAGTAATTCAAATACCAAGAATTTAAAATTCCTTGAATTTGTAAAATTCTTCATCCAAACACGCCATTAATGTTGGTTAAAAATATTTCTATACATTTTGTTTAATTATTAATATTTATTGGATGATTGTTCTCACTCCTTATTTTTCTTTGTTTAAAAATTGAATTAATATAAAATAAATGGATCTGCCAACCATACCAGACCATTTCGCTTCCGTTATCACGGTTGTTTTTTCGGGCACAAGTTAGGGTATGGACACAATTGCAAATGTCGTTATCTTTCAAGGCATAAGAGTATTTTCTTTTGTATTTTCACCAACCTAACAAACCTCTATATTATTATAGATGGCCAAATAGTGATTACTTTCTATCTATCCTCAACCAATCACCCTAATCTAATAATAAATCTGTATCGACCTAATATGTAAATATTGTAGTAGAAATAGAGAATATATATAATATGTAATTAGGTATGTTATTGTAAATATTTTAAAATGGTATGTAATATAAATATGAGCTACTATATGTATATAAGTTCACAAAATCTTCTTTTTCTTTGATCTCATGTAAAACATTATTAATTCTATAATTGCGTTAATAAATTATATATATATATATATATATATATATATATATTAATTTAGTATTATATATAATAATTATATACTTAGGCGTTACATGATGACTTCCTATGCCCCAATTAATCTCTACCTTACCTCTAGGATCAGGGTGATGATGATCATTCCTTTTAAATGACTTGATTAATTTTATTTTATTTATACGTACTTTTAATAATGATGCATATCATTTAAAATTAAATTTTTCAGTAAGTATTTATATTAATGAAGAGTGAAACACTAATATATGATTTTATAAAATATAGATATCGAAACAAATAATATTGTTGAAAAGTTGAAATATTTTTTATATTCATATCATGTATTAAACTTAAAACATTTAAAATATACTCCCCCGTATAAAATTTTTATATTTTGTGTATTTTTGTATTACATTCTACTCGTGTATGAGTTTTTGGTACCCCTGATACCTTTATAATATATATCTATCTTTGCTGATAAAAAAAAAAAAAACTTAGTATAAAATTAAATAATAAAATGAAAGAGAATTTTTTTTTTTTTACATTTTATGTCATTTTTATCAATTTAAAAAATTAATTGTACTAAATGTCTTTCTACAGATTACCAACTATAGTACTTAAGGAGATAGTGAGCATCCAAAGAAATTTCCTGTGGGGTATAGGGATGAAAATGTGAAGAAAATCTGTTGGGTTAGGTGGGATAAAGTCACAATGCCAAAGAGTATGGGAGGTTTGGGTATTAAGGACTTACGGAGTTTCAACACAGCACTCCTAGCTAAGTGGAGATGGAACCTTTTTAACCATGCAGATAGTCTTTGGGGAAAGGTATTGACCTCAAAATACGGTGGGTACTCTAGCCTAGCTGATGTGGGTGATGGAAGACAAGCAAGATTCTATTCAGAATGGTGGACAGACTTGAAAAAGACCTGTGGTGGACAAGACCAGCAACAATGGTTTGATAAATTAGTGAGGTGGAAAATAGGTGATGGTAGAAAGATAAGGTTCTGGCAAGACACCTGGCTGGGAGGTGAAAGCTTAATAAATGCATTCCCTCGGATCTATATCAACTCTAACCAAAAACATAATAAATTGGCAGACATGGGCAACTGGGTAGAAAATGAGTGGAAATGGCAGTTCTATTGGAGGAGGACTTGGCTTCAAAGAGACCAAATACAGTGGTCTACCTTCCAATATCTACTATCACAAGTAAACCTAGTAAAACAAGATCAAGACAAGTGGGTGTGGTTGGCAAATAGCACGGGGGATTTCTCAGTTCATTCTGCATATACTGCCTTTCATAATTTACAACATATTGGCCAAACAAATAGCGTATGTGGAGGGCTTTGGCAACTGGGAATACCTTGGACAGCAGCAGTTTTAATGTGGAGATTGGTTCAAAACGCCCTACCAACAGTAGAAAATTTGCAGTCAAGAGGTGTTATATTAAGCGACTCCCAAGGGCGTTGTGCTTTTTGTAATGAAGTACAAGAAACTTCCTCTCACTTGTTCTTCTGTTGTCGGATTACCAATAAAGTATGGCACCATTGTTGGTCTTGGATCTCAATATCAACTGTTCTCCCTCAATCAACGCTTGAAAATGTATGTCAGTACCCATATCTCTGTCTTACCCAGCGTGAAAGGTCGAAGTGGGATATTATAAGGAGTGCTGTAATATGGTGCATATGGCGTTGTAGGAACAACAAAATCTTCAGAGGGGAAAATGTAGACGTGGAGAGGTTGAAAAATAACATTGATCACATGGTCTGGTCATGGCTAAAGATCAACAACGAACTATTCTGCTATAGTTTTGATCAATGGATGGCTAGCCCAGCTGCATGTCTTAAGGCTTGAATTGGCTTCTTGTAAGGCTCGGTTTTAGTTGGCAATATCACATGATAGCGGTGATCATATATAAGCATTTATTTATGTATTATTGTGTATTTTTGTATTACATTCTACTCGTGTATGAGTTTTTGGTACCCCTGATACCTTTATAATATATATCTATCTTTGCTGATAAAAAAAAAAAAAACTTAGTATAAAATTAAATAATAAAATGAAAGAGAATTTTTTTTTTATTATAAACTTGCTCTATTTATTAAGAATATCTAATTTAATGAATTAAAATAAATTATAAATTATATTATTAATTTAATAAATTAAAATAAATTATAAATTATTGAATAAAATAACTATAATGAAACATTGTTTTCTATAAATGTTTGTTTCTTTTAAATATCTTGGTTAATTACATTTTTTTTATGTTGTGGAAAAAATAAAAGACAAAAAATAAGAAAGAAATGAAATTAGTGTAGTGAACAGAGATCTTCTCCATAGATCTTCTCCATATACTTGAAACACAAAATTTGGAAGACTCCTCCATGTTACATCAATAAAGACCAGTTTCTAAAATATAAACAAAGAAATAAACAATATTGTGTAAAATTTGAAATATAATTTAATTCATATCGTGTCTTAAAACTTAAAAAATCTAATAAAAAAATATATGCTTATGCAAGAATATTAAATAATAGAGATTAATTGTTAGATTATTGTTGTAAATATAAAAAAATAAAAAAAAAATCCACGAAAAACTTATATTTCACATTTCAAAAGAATAACATCTAAAATTAACACATCAAGCTATAAAACAGTATATTTTAACATACTTCTTAATTTCTATTAATTTAAATAGTTTATTCATGTACCCCACATATGTGCAAGTCCACATCTAATTATTATGATATAATCCAAACAAAGCTTATTATTTGTTTATATGTCCACCTTCCGTAGAATGACATGGGCACCATGTTGGGGCTGAAGAGTAATTGCTGTAAATGGAGCATGAGTATAGGTTGGAGAAAGTTCAAAAGAGAAACGATGTAAAATCATTGCCAGAGCAATCTTGGCTTCCAACAAGGAAAAGTTTTGTCCAATGCATATTCTAGGACCCCCTCCAAAGGGAAAAAATGAAGCTCTTCCCTTTGTGGCCTTTAGAACTCCTTCAGAAAATCTCTCGGGATTGAACTCCTTAGCATCATCACCCCACAATTCACAGTCATGGTGGAACAAAATTATTGGTAAGAAAACTTGCACTCCAGCCGGTAATGATATGTTTCCAAGTTTCACATCTTTGTCAACTTTTCTAGCAAGAGCAACTACTGGTGGATATAACCTAAGAACCTCGTACAAAATCATGGTAACCTGTTGCAAAAATAATCATGATAACAGTAAATACAAAAGGCATATTATTCAATATTAAGATGATAATACAAACTTACAATCTTGAGGTGGCTTAGGCCATCATAATCTGGTTTTCTGTCACCAAAAACTTGTAAAATTTCCTCCCTTGCACGTGCTTGCCAATCAGGGTACCTACTTAATAATATTGTTGTCCAAACAAGCAAAACTGAAGTTGTTTCCTGCCCAGCAAAGTAGAATAGCTTGCATTCTTCGATAACATCCTCAAGATTCATTCCAACATTCTTATTGTTTTCTTGTTCTTGAATTTCCTTGTGATTTGACTCCAAAAGTATATCTAACAAGTCATTTTTAGTGGCTTCACCCTCCTTCAGTGCTTTCTCTCTCTTGTTAATAATATCCTTAAGCGAAGCTTTTATATCTCTGTCAATTTCTTTCATCCTTCTATGGATAGGAGTAGGTACAAACCTACAATTCAACAAAATCAGTCTTGTCATAATCATGATATGAAACAGAATGCTCTATTCTATATCAATTACTAGCTTTCTAAAGGTGGTTTTATCAATAATAAACATAGTTCGATTTTCCAAGCTGCAATTTAGATATATTACATATTAAAAACATCCTTCTAATCACAATTTCCTTTATGGAAAAATGGAAAGGTTAGTTTAGTTAGATAAAGGTTGTCCAACTAATAAGATTGATCTCTTAAGTTTATCAAGTAGTCAAATATACATATTATGTCTCACCTCCAACCAGGTATGTAAACTCTGAATATAACTTTCATGGTAAGATCAACTTGCTCTTTTAGAAGTTGAAATATTCTTCTTCCTTCTTCATAACTACTTCCAAATGAAGTTCGAGAAATAACATCGCTAGCCAAATTCTGAAAGAAAGGCCATACGTCCATTTCACATGATTCGTCTGAAGACAACATTCCCTCCCATTTGCTAATCAGATCATCGCAACATTTGGTGAATAATGGTAACATATTCTGCAGTGTAATAAAGAAATAACAAGGTGTTAAATTGGCCATGTCAAATTAAGCACGTAAACATTTAGACTTCTCATCATGTTACTTTTAAACCAATTGATGTTGATTACAAAGTATGGGTTACAGGCTAAACTATCTCAAGGTTTGCCATATCAAATATGTATTTTGCTTGCAATGTGTGGCTTAATACTAAATACATTTTTGAGGAGAGTAATTTTCACATAAAAAACAAACACACAAACATATACATGCAGAAATCCCAATGTTTTTCTAACAAGTTTTCAAAATGGCACACGAGTAAATATATATAATAAATCTAGTAATAGAAAACTAACCTTCAACTTTTCTAAATTGAATGCAGGGTTGATTATCTTTCTGTGCATGCTCCACTTTTCTCCCTCATGGCTTACAAGACCAGGAGCTAGTAACCTGACTTGTGGATTCATATTAGGCTTTGTGAAGTCATAAATCTTGTTGAGTGCATCTTTCATTTGCTCAGGATCTGTGAGGGTCACCCTAGGCATTGGTCCAAACCAGACAAAAGAATTTTTTCCTACGTACCACAAAAACAATAAGAATTGTTATGCAGTACTTAGTATCAACATTAAAAGGCATTACTGTATTCGGCTATCAATGATTGGTTTTTGACTAGGTTAATCAAATTTGATTTAATGTAGTCCTCCATTTTCACAAATCTTATTAAAAAGAAATATTTGGTGTCACTATAAACAAAATGCCATATAGTGGAAGCTGTTTGTTCTTTACCACTATTTATATGATTCTCTTTTCCATTTTTTTTTGGGTCTTGTTATTTTTCTCCTTTTTATGGTGTTATCATTAGACCCATTACATGTTTCCAACTGGCTTCATCTAAATCTTTAATTAATTTCAAGCAAGCAATTTCATTCAAAACCTCGGCCTTACATGTTCAGATTGGCAATTCCTGTCCTTACTTTCCCATCCAAAAGAGAAGAGCAAGCAGAGAATTTACAAGAACTGAAGCACATCTTCGTGCAAAGACAATTACTTTTGGTGCAATATTTTTTTTCTTTTTCTTTTAGCACAGTAATACCTTGCATGCCTACCACCTTTGCCTCAGTATGCACAAAGTAATAATGCATTAATTTGCTTTAGTTTATGTTAAAAATAATGATACAAATTTCTATAATAAATTTAATATATTCTTGTAATCTTTTAGTAAAAGTTAGAATAATCTAGAATTTAATAATTAGATAACTCTAGAACTACGGGCTAGATATATAGCTCTAGAACCACAGGTGAAATAAGTTCACCAACTATAAGAACCTATGAATAGGCCATCTGCTACCAATTGTAAATCAAGCTAAGCACCTAGCAATCAACTAGATCCCTTCTATTTCTACATCAACTATTTTCTATCAATTTCAAATGCATAACAAAGCAATGCTACCATTCCTTATAAATTAGTGCCTCTGTTTTTCATTGACTACTCTTCACATGAAATTCATTCTTCTATTCTAAAAACTGTCAGTTTAAATTTATTATGTCTTAAAATTCTTCTAATATTCTTGTTCTTCACCCATTCTATTGTGTGATGTCAATTTATAGATGATTGGATGCACCTAGTTTGTTGTCATTCATAATGATGAGCTTCTCCAAAATTTGATGCATTCAATTACTAATGGTATGTGACTGGTGTTGATTCCATGCTTCATGCCTTCATGTATAGTACAAAAAGTAGTTTGATCTAACTATTTTTGGTACTCTGATTGGACTTATTTCAAATTATTGTGAGATTCAGTAAATGAATTCTGTATATAGTTGAAGACATTGTATATACAGCCATAATTATTAGCATAAACAAGTTTGTCAGTCTGAAATATCTCCCAAGGACATTATTTTGTACTGCAGCAATTATCTCTTCAACTAGCAGGAGTTTTATCTATAAGTTTTAATGCCTAAATCCATCCAATAAACTTTGAAATACTAGATTTTCAATTGAATCCACTGTAGCTACGTTGTAGCTTTTGCAGTTTATCAATCTAGTGGGCACTCGATCAGTTTATATCAATCTAACTTATTAATTTTTCTATGTATCCAGCATATATAGTATATAGCCATGCTTTGGCAAAGAACTTTTTAGCTGCTGTTAATTAAATTCCTCCTACTTTTTATTACATATGATGTTTTTGTATACATCTTTATGCACAGAATTCAAACAAGGGATTTATTCATACAAGTTCGGTTACTATTTTCTCGTAGGTTGAGTTATGCTATACCGACATTTTTAAGAAAATGGATCAATCAACAGCATCTAACTCTAACTATCCCCCACTGATTTTCTGATGGTGAGTTAATTGTGTGATACTATTTCAAGAGAAAGAAGAATCGAGATAACAGTTCTGCCCGGATTCCCGGACTGATTTCTTTATTTTCAAAATTTTTATTTGAGTTTTACTATTTTTATGATCATGTTATTAGTACGAAATATCTATCTAAATAACTAATCTATATCAGAGAACTTGGCATATCACTTTTAGCGAAGTCTTTCATACCAGTTTTTTTTTATATACAATATTCAAACCTTGTTTACGAGAACTAAATCGGTAGCACTCTCGTCTTTCCTGCCAGTCACAGTTTTTTTATATACAAAATTAAAAATCTTGCTAAAGAGGAATGTGTCAATAACATAGAGTCTTTCCTATCCATTACAATTATTTTATATACAAAATTCAAACTTTGCAGAAGATAATTGAGTCAGTAACATTCTTAATGGAGTCTTATTTACCGGTCACTTTTTTTACACATACAAGATTCAAGCCTTATTTAAGAGGACTGCCTCAGTGATACAATGAGCAAGGGCATGTTGATATTTTGAGTTTTAATTTTAAAATAATTTTAAAGAAAACAAAATAAAAAGTCTAGTCTTTCCCCCCTCATAAGATATTTTTTTCCTGAGTTTCGTTGGCCAATAATTGAGACTCATGTGTGGTTGAGAAAATTGAAGAATATAATAATGGTCTTTGTACACTGAAAGATGGACACACTAAACAAATGAAAGTGAACCTCATGCCAATAAAATATCTTACTCTATTATTCTAAACATGTACTTTACAAATTATCAGTGCATAATCACTTACACATTGTTTCAATCAAAACCGACACAAAGACTCATATATATGACAATTGCAAGAAGAGAAGATCAGAAACATACCATGCTTGTTTAGACTGTGTTGGAAATAAGAAAACACACGTGGCACTAAGTCATCGGAGAGATTCATGGGTTTGGATAAGGCTTCCTTTCGCATCTTGAGAAGCTCCTTCATGTCTCCAACCAAAAGCTTGTAAGGGTTGCCATGAAGGCCTTGCTCTCTCAGAAGCCTTTCGAGTCTCTTTGGTCTCAGCCATAGCCAGTTCAGCACCTTCCATGCAGATATCAGAACAAGTATGAGAATGAGTATCAGAATTGTGGCGAATGCTGCTACCATTTCTTTCAGTGTTTGTGGATAGAGATTACAGCGGAAAGATGAAGATATAAGAGTCCTGAGGCATTTGATTGCATGCTGTCACCATTCAACACGCGGCATGCTTTATAGTTTCCACTATTCAATTCCCTTGTTTAATGAGTCTGTTTCATACTTTTGAAAGAATACATTAACTTCTTTGGATTTTTTATTATTTAAATCTTATATAAATAAATACTTAAAATAATTATTTGTATAAATAGTTTGATACTTGTCTTTTTTTAATCAGTAGAACAAAATTCAATCTCTGACTTATTAAGTAAAGAAGATGCATTTTACTCTTATGATCATTACATCTCCTTATAGAAAAATATAAATATATTTAGTTTAAATATATTTTTAGTTTCAATAAAATTAATAAATTTTGATTTAAATTTTTGTAAAAAAAAAAATTATTTTTCATTCTTATAAAATTGAAACTATTATTTTTAGTTCTTAATTTTTATGTGATTTACTTTTTATTTATTAAAAAGTTAAGTGATTATCTTATGTATTACTTACAACTATTATTATATCACATTAATATTTAATATTTCTAAAAAAATTTATAAATTTTTAAAATGAATATTATTTATCTACATTAAAATTATCATTAAAAATTAAAAATAATGAAATTACATTTTATAAGGATAAAAATCAAATAAAAATATTTTATAAAAATTAAATTCAAAATTTACTTATTTTACAAAGATAAAAAAAATAATGTTTATAAATTTTAGAAGATAAAAAATAAAGAAAATTTTTTATACGAATTAAAATTAAAATTATCTATTTTACAAGGATTAAAAATATATTTAAACCAATATATTTTTATAAATGAGTTCAAATGACACATATTATGTTCATAAATATTCAAATATTAATGATATAATAAATAAAAGGATCATAAATAATCATAATATATTTCATTATAAATATTTAAATATTAATGATACAATAAATGAAAGAATCATAAATAATTATAATATATTTCATTATAGTTAATATTTATGATATAAATAATTTTTATTTTTATTTTTATATTATAATTATATGGTTAAAATATATTAATATACCTAAAATTTGAAATCATATAATTAATTATATGA